CAAGGAAATTAATTTTTTTTAAAAAGATTATTAATTGCAGTTGCTGTGATTACTTTACATAACTACAACAATCCAAAATATCCATATCCATAATAATAAATATAAATATTAATCATTGCTTGGAGGCAGGCATGCAGTGGAGAAGCAGATGTGAATATAAAAAGTTAGTGCAGAGATCAAGTTCAACAAGACTGCCGGATTAGTACCCAAGGGCTAACAACTCTAGATATGGTGCTCTCCTGCGGTCGGTTCCCAAAATTTTAAAGTTAAAATGAAGAATGAAGTTCCAGAAAAATATTTAAAACCATCATTTTACTTGTGACTGGCTCCAACACTTTTTAATATGTGAATAATCAATACCTAATCCTAGGAAGAGACTTGGACAAAAATTTTCATACTCAGTGTCTCAACAATAAGAAAAGAGGGGGAGGGGGGAAGGAATATGGAAATGTTATGATGCCAACACCATTTAGGAGCAAAAAAAAAAAATGGTTAACTATGATCTTAAGACATGGTATAGTTTTAAGACAAGTTATAAATAGTGCTGTGGGTGGTATAATATGATTCAGATAGTAATGTTATTATTGTACATGTGAGGAACGGAAACTTGTTTCCATTTCCAGTTAAGAGACACTCAAGAAAAAAATGGTGTCATTGAAATGAGATGGCATGAAGTCTGTGAGTCAGCTGACCATGACATTAGGACTGGTTGGTTGAGGTATCAATGGCATCTTAAAGGACTGGTTGGTCCAGATGTCCATGACAAAAGGACTGGTCGGTTCAGATGTCCATGACATTATGACTGGTTGGTTGAGATATCAATGGCATCTTAAAGGACTGGTTGGTTCAGATGTCCATGACAAAAGGACTGGTCGGCTCAGATGTCCATGACATTAGGACTGGTTGGTTGAGCTATCAATGGCATCTCAAAAGGACTGGTTGGTTTAGATGTCCATGACTAAAGGACTGGTCGGTTCAGATGTCCATGACATTAGGATTGGTCAGTTAATGTTCATGACATAAAAAAAGCCTGGGTCAGTTCTGATGAATGTTACCTGCAATTTTAGCTTCTCTTAGACCAATGCCCGTTTCAGTCCGATGAAATCCAGTTTAAGATAAATATTTTAGAGCTATAAAAATTTTTACAAAAAAAAAATTTGTACAGAAATTAGAAAGCACAACTCAATTATTTTACCAGGATGAATTGCATCTTTAAAGAAAAAAAATCATGTACCTTGATGTGAATGAGATTCTTAAGGAATATTTGGTGTCAGCTACACAACAACAACAAACAAAATATTCCCCATCCATATACAGTGCTCTAAAATACAAGTATAAATATTAGCACACTCCAAAGGTTTCTCATTAAACCAGAAAACAAGTCTTATTTTCAAAGATCCAGAAAGGGGAAGATCAAATTTTTTCAAATTTTTTTTTTTTTAAAACCGTTTTTTGTTTTTGTTGTTTTTTTTGTTTGGAACCCTGGAATTTATTTTTTGAAAATTAATAAAAAAAACTCTCAAATACTCCTAAACAGTTTTAAAAATTCAATCACCAAATGCCTTTTTTTAGCTGATAAATAAATAATCAGAAGTGGTGGATTCCCTATTTGGATACAGAAACATAAACAGGGGGGGGGGNCAAAAATATTTGATAAAAATTTGTGTTAAAAAAAATGGAAAGATGGGGTTGGGCTGCAGATGTGTCAGAGAGTTGGAGATGTGATAGCAAGAGATGGACTCATTTGAGGTACCGGGTATGTGAAATGAACTTAAAATATTTACACGCTGCCACTGTTAAGAAATGACAAGGCAAAAAAAAAAAACAAAAACAAAAAAAGTTGACGGCTCCAAAAAACAAAAAAAAAAAACAACAGAGTCAATGTTTATTAGTTTGTTCTTCCTTAATCCAATTTCAAACCACCCACAATGCAGTTGGATAGAGGAAATGATGTCTACCAACAATAAAGCACTTTTTGTTTTGTTTTGATTACATGTAATGGAAGATTTGTTTAAACAAACCACAGTTTCACATCCACTGCCTTCTGTCCTACTTTTACCAAAGATTCTTCCTGGCTACACACAGCCAATGTCACTCAACATGAAAAGCAGTGTCAAGGCCACTCAAGATGTAACTTCATATCATTTAAATTCATTTACATTCTTGTTTCCAATTATATAAAATAGTTCCAATAGTTTCTTTTAAAAAGCAGCCATTAACTTGATGTGTATTTTTACATAAAAACGTAAGTTCTCAAAATTTCTATTTTGTGTGTCTTTAACTCTTAACTCTTATGCAAGATATAGACATTTTTTTTTATCTGAGTAAATCTCAAGTTGACCTTATGACAGTGTTTTCTTCTTAAGCACTATTGGAGAAATTTTCTGTTTTTCAAAATCCTTTTGAGCAAACAAGGAATTAGACAATTATACTGAGTGGAGTGTTACCAGGAAATGGAATATGTGGCCATTCCAGAGAACAAAGAGATTTTTTCTTCATTGAAAAAACCAAAGAATTGTTTGGCCATTGGTGTTGAAAAAAAAAGTGTTTGTTGTTATATTTAACTTTCAGGCGGAAATAATTTAGGTTAATCCTCCTTCAACTTCAATGAATCAAATTTCAGTTATAGATTGGGTTGTTATGATGTGGTAGCCATTTTGATATATTTCAAAGGTGCCACTTGAATAAGTATGACACACCATCTCAAATTTCAAAAGATTTTTTTCATCAATTGTCCTGATTGACGTGTTTCACCAGAGCATGAACAAAAAAAAAAAAATCATTACAGTGCTGGGAAAGACATTCACAATAAAATGTATTACCATTGTCCAATGGAAAAATATGGATGAAAATGGAAAAATTACAGGAGGGAAAAAGTGAGGGGAAAACAGTGCTGAAAGAATGTAGAAAATTTACAATAGCAAAGAGGGAAAGAATTGTGAAAAGTTGAGCCATTGAGCAGGAGTATAATCAGAAAAATGCATTACAGGAAGAGTTTTATTTAGCACTGGAATTGAATAAAGATGTTACACAAATCTTACTCTCTAACATCAATAAAAAAGTTATATAATTTTATTTTTAAATTCACAAATTTTAATTTTTTTTTAATCTGTGATTTAAACAAAAATTACAAGAATGAACTCATTGGTCAGAGAAATGTGTACAACACGGCCTGTCAGACTTAAGAAATACAGCCCCCAGGCCTCGTTATAATAAATCAAGATAGATCAAGTGGATAAAAGAGCAAGAAAAGTATCACATTGTTTCATTTGGTAGTTCAAAAGGTACCGGTACATAAATGTGGTAAAAATGCAAGGGTTGTATTGTACGAAAAAAAAATACAGCCATGTCAGGTATGGACATACCGTGGGTAGCCACACTGTACTCCTTCATGGGTAGATTATGAGAAAAGACTAATAGAAATATAGTGAGAATAATTCAAATCAACGGGAGAAAAAAATCAAGCGGCTGAATTATTTCTTTACAATATCACAAAGTTCATTGTATATGTTGATATTTCACACAGAAAGGGAGTTAATCACACTCAATAACTGTACATTTTAGAGGGTTGCCCTTTCATTCCCAAAATGCCTTCTTTCTATTCAGTTAAAAAACAACAATCAGTCAGCAACAATCTAGCAAGAAGAGACCAACCCTGTGGTATATCCCATCAAGACATGGATCAGTAGCATCAGAGGCCCCCAATCAAATTAAAAAAAAAACAATGTGCTTAATTTTTGCGCATCAATATTGTATATACCGGTATATAAAAAAAAAAATTTGAAGATAAAAATTTCCATTTAAAAAAATCAAATGCATTCGTCCATAAGAACACTCCTTACTCAAGATGAAATACCCTAGGGGTGAAAAAAACAAACCATCAACTGGGCCCCACAGTGCACACATAATGTATCTTGGGAATAGGTGTTTGAGAAAATATGTTTGGCAGTAGGGAATAACAGGTTTAAAAATAGACTTCAAACAAGCTAATTCAGGCACATCACTTAACGTATTCTTGTTATTTCAACAACAAAGAAATGGTCATGCAGGCAATGATCATGCAGTAGTGGTCACACTAATCAAGACCCTCTTTAAATCCCCATTACAATACTTGTCATTTTTTAAAAAATATAACTGACAACAATATTTAGATCTTCCAAGTTTGTACACCATATATACAGCAAATAGCTTTGTTCATTTGCTCTTTGCATAACCCAAAGTGTAATTTTTTGTTTGTTTATGAATCAATTTCAAAAGATATCCCATTCATAGTCTGTGTTTGATCAGATCATTAATTTATCAATAAATGTAAAAATCAAAGTAAAATTCTTAAAACAAAAAATGTAAGCATCTTTCTCTGCCTCTATATCGATAGTATTTTTTTTGGGGTCTTTTTCTTTCAAATCTCTTTGTTACATTGCTATAATTTCGCCAATAGCTTTCTTATCATTATTAAATCTCTTTGTTACAATTCTGAATTTTCATCACCAATGACAAAACATTTTTAAAACATATTTTTATATTATGTTTTGATTAAACATAAAGATAAATTTTAGCCAGGGAATCCTCAAGATGGTCTTTTAATTTAATATTAATATTATCTATCTTTAAACATAAAATGCCCCCCATACTTAGGAGAGCATTTTATAATGTTCTTATAGTTTTATATTCAAAATTACCTTAGCAATTGCAAAACCTAACCAAAAAAATAACTATAATCATGTTTTCAAAATGAAATCGTCACTTCACAATGTAATCTCAGAAAATATGCATTCCAGGTTTTATCCATGTCCGTTTTATTACATTTTTTTTAGCTTTGACAAATTACTTAGTAAATAACGTAATGGGACCAATGTATGGGAATGGCAAAAAGTTTGTGCGTGTTCCCGATAACTTCAGAGTCAAGATCGAAGTTTACACACTAGCATTCATCAACAGCTGGACTCTAAAGGTAAATTACTCCATTTTGAATACACCACAGTCATCCTCAGTCTCCTCTACGCACCCGCTGTCTGTGAGGTTGTCAACCTCTCTGGCAGTTTGACTGCACTGTCCAAGACAGCTTTCACCACTACTCTGTCCAGAGTTAATTGCCATATGAGATGTAGAGGTCATTTCAACAGGACATGAGCCCCTCTCCACCACACGTAAGGTCGCTGGTGGGGCCTCATCACGATTGCCATCTGTCGCAGCCTGACTGCAACCATCAGACGCTGTCACTGGCTCACTGTCAACATCGGTTGGTGGGGTCTCGTCGAGGTACTGCGAGTTTGCTTCGTGGGGAGGTGGGGAGCTGCAAGTAAACAATGGGAGGGTTGGTTGAAATTTTCACTGTAAACAGAATATTACTACACAGTAGATGCTTTCTGGCCATAAGTCACAGAGCTTAAACGAGAATACCCTCATAGATTTAATGAACATTGCTTTCATAAACTAAATAAAAATTACAATCATAAACTAAATGAGCATTGCTTTCATAAAGTGTAAAAAAAAAATACAATGATAGACTTAAAGAACATCTGTCATTGAACATTGCTAACCTGCACCCCCTTAACTTATAAATGAAAAAAACTAGTTTAAATATTTAAAAAAAATTTTAATCTTGATGGGGGATTTGTTTAATTAAAAAAAAACATGTTGGAAGGCAGGGGGGACAGAAAGAGAGGGGGGAAGGGAGTGAGGAAGGGAGAGAGGGAGGGAGAGACAGACAGCAAGAGGAAGGGAGAGAGAGAAAAAGAGGGAGAGAGAAAGAGAAAGGAAGGGAACGAGAAGAGAGGGTTGTGAGAGGAGCTAATATCTGCATATATTAAAGTTTTTAAAAAGATCTATATAAAAAAATAATGAGGAACATATTCTTTAGAAATGTGTATCATAATTCTCATGAATTTTTCTTTAAAATAGTGCGTGTTCTGTATGTTTGTGTTCTATCTATACATAATCTCCCAATTAAAATAGTGGGTGTTCTGTATGTTTGTGTTCTATCTATACATAATCTCCCAATTAAAATATGGGTGTTCTTCTGGATGTTTGTGTTCTATCTTTACATAATCTCCAAAGTAAAATAGCGCGTGTTCTATCTTTACACGATCTCCCAATTGAATTCACTTGTCATATTTACTATTCCACATGCCAGACAACACAAGAGGTAGCACTTAAAGAAACAGAAATAGACATAAATCAGGTCAAGGTGTAACATTATAATAATGTAAAGCAGTTAGTAAAACCTTTGAAATTTCATTTTCCTAATTTAGTGAACTTTTGCACCCATGTGCAGTAGTATATCAGTTCAAAACCCATTAGTAATCATGGCTGTGCTTATCATAATTTTTACCAGTGAACCCCTGGACACAAAACAATGAGGACACTGAGCAGTGCCATGCATTACAGAATCTCTAAAAAAATTTGTGTTTCTGTACACATTGTGATTTTTGCAGTTCAATGGACAAACATTTTTTAGTATCTAAATAATGTCAATGAAATGAAAAGTTTTAATTGTATATATTATTATCTTTATAATGTCTTTAAAATAAGGATTACATTTTCTGTTTAAAAAATAACAATAACACTATTGATTATAAGTAATTCTTAATTCCCTACAAAGAAAAGCAAATGTAAGGTATTCCTCATCTACAACATTACCATCATATTTGCTATGAGCAGTGGCCTACAAACTTTGATGGGCATGCACTTTAAATTACTTTGAACTTCATAATTTCAGAGATATTTCTTTTAGAAAAACCTAAAGGCTTAAGTTGATCAGGCACAGCCAGACTGATAACTGATTAGAATGCACCCAGGGAGGCAACTGCGTTTTGATGTGGAGACCAGAGATCTGTAATCAATGGCTTTACACTCAATATAGAATCAACATTATGTTAACTAGGACACCATTTAGTTTATTAATACCTAGCCTCCTCTATACTCCATATAGGATCAACATTTCCTTAACTAGGACACCATTTAGTTAATAAAAAAGCACAGAAGAATATACATGTTAAAAAGAAAAGGAATTACATTTGACAGCTTGAAGAAAGACAACAAACACAAACTGTAGAAATGCTAAGTAATTCCTAGTGTGGCAATATATAACAATTTATATTTAGTTAGTACTAAATCTAGATGCAATTGATAAAATAATTCTTAAAACTAAATGTACATGTTTTCAATTTTTAAAAAGTGCCTAATTTAATTTGAAAAAGTGCTAAAGTAAAAAAAGAGATAACCTCAGTTATACTAAACAAAGCCATATACTGAGAATGAAATATTTTTTTTCCAGCAGTATAAAAATAGAGAAAGAAGGAAGCTTATTATTAAATGAGCTGCGCTACCTAAGCCATCAGAGTAGCCTAATAATAAATCCAATGGTACAGACCTGTTTACTCTCAAACTCATAAAATCGTACAATACCTTATATTTATAGAAAAAAATAAACATACAGTATACATGCTAATACCTCAAAATCGTACATTGTACGCCAAAATCGTACGAGTAAACAGGTCTGAATGGTAGTCTAGATCAGTGGTCGGCTAATGCAGCATGCAGCACTTTTGCAACCTGAGTGCGGCTCGGCCAGCCGGCCACAAATTGGGTTGACTCTACAAAGCATTGTTCTTGACAGGTACTTGAAAAGAAATTGTGCTCTCACAATTTTTTTAATCACCCTGTTGCTGATTTTTAACTCTTTTGACTAATGAGCAGTGTTTCTTTCAGAAATTTTCCCCAGGGGGTGCACTTCAGATTTTTTTTTGGGGGGGTGGCAGTGCCAGCTGATTTATTGTTGGACATATTTTTGCTGGGGGGGGGGCACTGGAGATATAGCTGAAAGAAACCCTGTTAATGAGTTTGCCAACCACTGGTCTAGGTCATAACATCTTCACTCAATTTCTAGCTGCACACAGTCATACAAAAATGATGGAAGAGCAGGAGACAGATTCTCAGATTTTTTTTAAAAAAGAGAGCAGTTAATTAAGTAAATGATTGTTTGATTTCACGACATTGTTGTCTCTCTTACTTTCATTTCACTTTTATCTCTCTTACCGTACTTTAGTTTCACTATTTTTTTCACTTACTTTCATTGTGAGGATAACAATTTTAGTCAGAGATTAAGAGGCAAAGATAGCAGTTATTGAAGACATTAGCTAAAAGCTAAACCAGGGGTGTCAAAGGTTGAGTTCACTTCTCTGCACAAAACTCAAATGGAGGCCTTGATTATGACATACCTTATATGGAGGCCTTTATGTAACTAGTCTGTGACGTACAGTAAAAAATTTTATATTTGACTGTGTTCTACCTTTAGAGCTTAAAAAAACCCAGAAATTATATTAAAACACCCCTCAACACAAATAAATTTCACTTTTAAGTCCTAAGTCGATATGAAGTACAATTCATTACAAAAGTTTGACACCCCCAAGGTTATATTGCAATACACCTCACTATAAAAGTTTGACACTCCAAGTTTTCACGGCAATGCACCCCACTACAGCTTTAATCAAATGTTGCATTCAAGTACCTCATGCCACACACAAGTCATTCCATCTTTGTTCACTGTTTGATCTGATCTGGAGGAGGTTTAAGAAACACACTATAGTTGCAAGCTTGTAGAGACAAACAACATTGTTAAGCCTGGTCAGTCAGTACTGGAGGAGAGTGGTCATCTCAGTGTCTGCACCAATCTATCTAACACTGGGGTGGTCACTTCAGAATACACCATTTAAACTAAAATGGGATGGGTCATTTCAATATCCACCAAATCTATCCAATGTGGGATTAATCTTCTCAATATACATCTATCTGGCAATGAAAAATTTTTCACAAAGTACTGCAGGTCTAAAAACTGTCTGGTGAACAATTTATTTTAAATAACATAAGTGTAACTTGCATAAGGAGAATAGAAGGAACTAAAAAAAGAGATATAAAATTAATATGTCCCAGAAATGTGGTGTGGTACTATCACAGTATGAAAGCAATCTTAAAAAGGTGTGTCATTAAAAAAATTAAAATAGTCAAAACTTTACCCCCCATTTCCTTCATTAATTGTGTTTTCCCACTTATTTCCAGAGACGGCTTGGAAAAACTCAAACTTTAAAATAATGTTTATATGTAGCGTACGTGTGATTATAACTAATCAATATTAGATTTTTATATATAGCAAAAGTGAGATGGTTATTAATAAAAAAAGTGAAGTGTTGAGAAAATAAAAATATATCAAAACCCAGTTTTGAGGAAACTGAATACATGTATTAAAACATTTATGAAAGGAGTTCTAGAAACCAAGTAATACACACCAAAAAAGAACCAGTGAGAACAACGACACGATATCATGTGTGAATTTATGTACAGAGTACTAACTAGCAGTACTAGCAACAAGAAAAAAAACAAAAAACTTACAGAAGAATTTAAAAAATAAACAAAACAAAATGATATACAAACCGAATAACCTCAACTCCAACCTAGAAAAAGATGACAGAGCCATCCAACCTTACAATTAAAATAAAATAACATTAATGTTTTTGTTTCTTTTGGTGGATGTGAGTTTTAAGAGAACAAATTCAATGACGTACTACACAGGCAAGCTACAGGAAACTTGACAAGAGTCCGGGGGTGGGGAGGTGGGGGGGGGGGGGAAGAGTCACCTACACTGACACAAAGTGTTGTACCTACCCTGACCACCTGAATGAGCTGATAGAGCTCTCTGAAGGCATGCAGATTGAGGAGACTTTTTAGTTATACTGGTCATTCACAATTATTATTGTACAGAGGTCATACAAATTTATGCAAAACAGGGATAAACTATTGTATAGCGGTAATTAAAAATTATGTAACGGTCATTAAAAAATATGTCATACCCATTATAAACTACTTCAAGGTCATTAAACATTGCATTACTTTTTTTTAGGAGATACAAAAAATATTAAACTTTAAGTTTCAAGGGCTGATAAAGGTGATACTACTTTCAGGTAGCTTCTTACTTTCTATCAAGCTGTTTGAAAAGAATTCTTTCCTAAACCAAAACTATGTAACGGTAGCTTTAAATAAAATCTCAAATGACATGGCCTCAATACATCCTCATAATCTACAGCTCTGCAAGTTTTTTCTTCTCCAATATTATAAATCTTTTAATGACCGTAATTTTGGTACTTCTGAGTCAATACCGAGTCAAAAAGATTCTTCCTACTGACCTACATGCGTTTGTGTCAATAGGTGAATAGACATTAATCGAATGAGCATTGATGCCAGGCAAAATGTGTTATATAAAAGTGTCAAGTTATCAAACGTGGATCAAACAGGAGGCGATGTGGGACACGCAGGCCAGGCTGAGGTAGTTCATGTATGGCACATATGATAGTGCAAGGTGTAAGGTTAAGTTATGTGATCTTTTCTTTACATTTTTTTACTTTGCCAATTCATTTTATCCGTAAATCTTTTCAGCTACACTAGCACAAACACCTCAATTCATAATGAATTACAGAGTTGAGAATTTGCATTCTTCCTTAGAACAATCTAAATTCAAATGTTATTTGACCATTAAAAGCTGCAATGTTAAAGATTTTTAAAAAATTGAAAAATTTGTATTTAATAAAAATGGTTGCTGTTAATTTTTCAAAATAAAGTTTCCCTTAAACTTTTGTATATTAAGCTTTTTACCTATCTTCTTAAATATTTATATATTAATTAATACTTAAAAACTAGAAGAAATGAGAAGTAAATGAGAAAAGATTGTTATTTTCAAGCATTCATTTGTTTGTGATCCAGCTTAATTCAGTTTATAGATTAAAAGATAAAAATTAGGAATTTAAAAAAGAATAGTATCCTATTAAACATTTGGATAGATATTATTTTAATGACTTAAGTGATATGCCTTGAAGGCAAAGAACAAGAACCCAAAAATCACTGCAGACTTCCATGCATATTAATTTCCCTTATCATGCCTTGATATTTCATGTCTCTTGACAGTGAAAGGAAGTTACATTTACTGCTCAGTCTATAACAAATAGATTAGTTTCATTAACCAAGCCTGTATTATGCTTTTAGGGTAAAGTTGATTAAAATCATTGTAAAAAAAAAAAAAGGCTTACCTATCAGGGGCATCACCAGCACCTGGAACCTGACCACTGCCTTCTTTACCATCCAGTGACCTCCTCTGGTAGTGAGACCTAAAGATGGATACATCTATTACTTAAAAGTTCATTCTTAAAATTCATGCGTAATAAATTAAATATTCTATTATCAAGGATGCTGAAATATTTATCTTAAATTCAACAACGCACCTAAATCTTTGCTGTATGATGACTGACTGGTTCCTCCCTTTCTTGAGTCGCTCTGACTCTCTTCTGGTGGTCGCTCCGGTGTCACCACGTTTCTTGCGCTTGGCGTAATATGTTCTGAACTGATTCTGGATAAGGACTGCTGCTTGGCTCATTTTCTTATAGTACGCATACTGAACAAGATAGCAATAAATAAAGCAGTGAGTTTTGTATTGTTCCTAAAATTCGATCAATTCTGCATACTGAACAAGAAAGCTATAAACAAAGCAATGAGTTTTGCATTGTTCCTAAAATTAGAAAAATTCTCCATACTGAACAAGGCTTAGAAGGGGCTGATATAAGCAAAGTGTGAAGCTTGAAATGAACACAGAAAACATTTCAGCAGTAGGCCTTACAACTGCTCTGCTTGATCATCACTGAAAACTTCCAAACTAAAAACTTGATAACCTTTAACCAGAGCAGGGTAGAGTACATTTAACCAGGTGAGAAAAGTGGCTTTTGACCAGAACAGGGCAGGCTACACTTAATGAAGCAATAAACGTGGCTTTTAACTAGAGCAGGGCAGGGTACCTTTAATGAAGCAATAAAAATGGCTTTCAACTAGAGCAGGGCAGGGTACCTTTAATGAAGCAATGAAAATGGCTTTTATCCAGGGCAGGGTACCTTTAACCGGGCAATAAACTATAAAAGTGACTTTTAAACAAAGCAGGGCAGGGTAAATTTAACAAGGCAATAGTAGTGGCTTATATTTTAAAAAAGCACGGCAAAAGTAATTGTAATCTTCATGAGTCAAATAACATGCAAACAGGAAAGATTTAATGGTCTTTAATACAATTGATATTTTATAAGAGAAAAAAGCTTTAGTTACTAAAAACTTGGTATCTAAGATAGCAGCTCTACTTTATTTTAAACTCACTGTTTTATATCTACAATGGCAGCTCTTAAAGAGTCTGTCAAAACTAGTTTTAACTCATTGTTTTATATCTACAATGGCAGCTCTTAAAACAGTCTGTCAAAACTAGTTTTAACTCACTGTTTTATATCTACAATGGCAGCTCTTAAAGAGTCTGTCAAAACTAGTTTTAACTCATTGTTTTATATCTACAATGGCAGCTCTTAAAGAGTCTGTCAAAACTAGTTTTAACTCACTGTTTTATATCTACAATGGCAGCTCTTAAAGAGTCTGTCAAAACTAGTTTTAACTCATTGTTTTATATCTACAATGGCACCTCTTAGTATGTCAAAACTAGTTTCAACTCACTGTTTTATATCTACGATAGTAGCTCTGTATAAGTATGGCAGCCTCAATTTCCTTCTGTTGCTGGAGCTGCTGCTGTTGCTGCTGTTGTTTGTCCCTGTAGTGCCTGTAGGCATTCTGGATCACCTTGGCAGCTTCATACAGTTTCCTTTGTTCCTGATCTGTGGACAAGTTTGAGAACCGCTAGACATCAACATTAAGCCATAAGTTGTCTGTGAAAGATTTGGGGGAAGGATAGTAAAGAGGGAGGGTATTTGCAAGATACAATTGTGACACCTTTCAGTGGTACCTAATACTGTCTGTGGGACAAAAGTTTTTGTAACTGTCACCCGTCGGTGGCTTTATTTCACCAGAGTTTTCCAGGACCAAAAAAAAAAACATTGAGTGTACGGTGTAATGTTTGTTAAGCAAGGGTTTATTTAGAGGGAAGTTCCAGTATATGACAAGAGTGAAGAAAATGTGTACTCGGAAAGTAATTTATTAATTAAGTTTAGAAACAGACAATGCCAGTCTTATATTTCAAGAGATGAAAGTAATGAAAACTATTTCTTTGGAGAAGAAGCATGTAACATCCTAGATTTATGTCATTTGTGAGTCTGTGAATAACTGAGTTGTACTGTGTTTTTGATTTTATGTGGTAAACTTTGGTTATATTATTGTTTCTGTTGGCAATATTTTAATAAATTAGTGGGCCAGACCTCTTGAATTTTTTAGCTGAAAACTTTAGCAAAAATCATAGCCTAGACCAGTGTTTCCCAACCTTTTTGACCAGTGGAACCCATTTTTAGCATCAATTTCCATGAGGGAGGCCTATAGGCTTACGATATGTCTACAAGTTTATAGTGTTTAGGAGTTTCCGGGAGTGGCAGCGGAAACCCTGAGAAGAGCATGTGCAGCCCTTAGGGCTCCATGGAGCAATTGTGGGAACCACTGCCGTAGATCAGAGCCCATTTAACTTTTCATTATGATGTACTGAAGGGAATGAATACACATTGCAGTGGGGACTAGTGTGCAATATATATATATAGGGTATCTTACTTTCTCAATTAAATTTTTTAAAAAACTGGTAACTGAGAACTACCCGACCACTCCTTTGGGAGTGATGCCCTAGAAAACTGTGTTTGAAAGGTGAGTGTAAAAAAATATTTTTTGCATAGACCAGCATTCCCGAAAAGGATGGTCCGCTTACCAGCATTGGTCCGTGAGCCTCACTTAGCACAACATGAATATATATGGTCAAATAAAAAGAAAATGTAATTTAAAAATCTGGCTCCGGACCCTGGTGTAGTTTCAAAACTTATCCACCGGTCTACAAAGCTAAAAATTGTTGGAAACGCTGACAAAGACTACTAAAAAAACAAATTATCATTGTTAGCCTACACCTATTTCATCTGTAAGTGTTGATTGTAAACAAATAAACGAAACACACCTGTTTGAAATGAAATCTTTGAGCCCCCGATTTTCTACCCCATACCTGACAATGTAAGCTGAGAAAAGTCCTTCTCCATGTATGTGGTTGGTGCATTGAAATACTCAGTGAACTCTGCTGTGGTGGGAGGCGGGGAGTCCAGCGTGAAGCTGTAGGGGCTGTAAGGACTTGGTAGGCAGGTCGAGTCAGGGCTCAGGCTGGAGGCTGGGGTTCCAAACTCTGGATATCTAGCAGAAGGAGTGAATAGAAAGCTGTTGACTAAAAAGGCTTGCCTGAAACCAACCCTTTCCAGTTAACATCTTAATATTTGTGTTGTTATTTGTTTGGGCAATGCGGAGTTGAAATGTGAAGTAGTCGAATACAATTTCCTTAAAAAAATTGTGATTAAATAAGACAGTGCGACATGAAGTCTTTGACTAATTAAGTCTACAAGCAGTGAATCTAATGTTATCAAGTATTTACACCCCCATTCCCTATTTCACCTGTATTCCTCAAAAGCCAGGCTGTCCGTCATAGGAGTTGATATCCCTGAATCATCTCCAAAAGAAGAAGGTCTCGGGGAGCCCTGTGATGGGAGAGAACTGTGTGACTCACTTCTACCACGGCCACTTGAGGCGTCGTCCACATCATCTCCCTTGGGTGGGGACAGTTTGATCCGCTCTGGTATAGCGGCAATAATTTGGTTGGCTAAGGTGACCATCTGATGCTTGGAGCCTTCTGTAAAGAAACCAAATTTTTTTCATTATCAATCCTAAGAATTGTTCCATAAACTTTCCACAATCTTTTTCCAGTAGACAAAAACTACCAATATTTGATGAATATGAAGAAAACTTTTGCTGCACCAAAACAAAATTATTTTACATCAATTTATTTCCAACTTTTCATTTTCCACACACCTATATTATTTTTTTTGGTGAATTTTAAGATAGGATAGATTAAGATAGGATAGGATTTTATTATCAGATTGCATAAGATAAGATTATTTTACTGATCCAAATAAGTAGATATGTGTTTTGATGACATGTGCATTTCAGTTTCGGCATAGGGATAAACATTCTGATTGAGATATCCCATTTTAAATTAAAGTATTTCCAAAGCACAAAAGTCAGCCATCATATATCACAAAACCCCACTTCCTTAGTGACAGTATTGGCTTTCGGAGTGATTATTTGATTTTATTTAGTTTAGACACTATCAAGTAAAGTTCATCAATGCAGCACTTGACCTTTATTGCCATCAACTTCCTCGTCAGATGAAATTCTCTCCACATCAATAATTGGGCTACCCCCTCGAACAGACATGATCTCATCTGGTAAAATAGAAAACAGGTTATTAACTTTTGAAAGGTCATTTTAAAATAATATTAATTGGTTGCCATTTAAAAGATTGGCACCATGACAGACCGCCTATAACAGCTCTCTTACTGATGTCATTCGTCATGAAATTAATACCTAATTAAATAAAATCATCAATTATCAGAAGAGCACACCACTTCATAATGGCAACATAATTTTTAAAAATAATTATACAGACTTTTAACATTGGATAAAGATTTATTTCATTTTGGCTTAAAATGACAGACCAGTGTCCATTTTGGATGTTGAAGGCTCTCCAGCATAACCTGAAGGTTCATCAATCTCATCCTCAAGCAACAGTCGGGGTGCAGGGGGTGCCACAAATGCCATGTCTGGGCTGACAGGGAGCTGACCTTCTGAGCTGGCATCTCTGACAGGCTGACTCAGTGGGGAGCCCATGCTGGGAATGGCTGCTTGGTCAATCTCTTGACCACTAGGTAGAATATCTATGGAGTTTCTCTTATTCAGTGGCCTGGTTTGGTGAGTGATGACCTACAATAACAAATTTATTACCCAGCCTTCAAAGTGAATAGCAAACCTGTTTATCCTAAAACTCTTAAAATCGTACAATATCATGACAAAATCGATCCATACGTTATATTTATAGTAAAAAAAACATACAGTATATATAATGTATACAACTCAAAATCATACATTGAAAGCCAAAATCGTAAGACCAAGCAGGTCTGGAATAGTCACTACAAAATCATTACATTGTTAAATGGTGGTTGTGTCTGTGATTGGTCATCTATTCACTATCATCCACCATTGCATATTATCTTTCAAAACATATGCATAGCATAAGTAATTATAACCCTTAATATCCTTCAATATGTAGTTTAAATATTTGTAACCATTAATAGTCAATTCTGATGTGGTTTAAGCATTTAATATTACAAATCCTCAAATTTATCACTAATCCTCAAATGTATCCCGATTCCTCATATGTATCACAAATCCTCATATTTATCACTAATCCTCAAATGTATCACTAATCCTCATTTGTATCACTATTCCTCATATTTCTCACTAATCCTCAAATGTATCACTAATCCTCATTTGTATCACTATTCCTCATATTTACCACTAATCCTCAAATGTATCACTAATCCTCACATTTATCACAAATCCTCATATCGTAATATAGTAGTTTTGGTTCAACTCTTTCTCTCCGGAACAACGCTCCCATCGTCGATTTGAAATGAAGATTTTTGCGTATCGACGATGGGATCTTCGATGTATAATAACCTGTTTATTTCGGTTCTTTTCTTAGCTATTGGTTTTTATATATTTTAAATCAATTCTATAAACATCCGGTTTTTCTGTGTTTGAACGAGGTTTTACAGGGAACGAAGTTTTTGAAGCGGTTGTTTTGATTGTCCATTTTATTTTTGTTTACAAACATGAAATTTTGACCTGACCCATTTGGTGATCGCTCTAATAAAGGTTGAAAATATTACTCTGATGATGATTCAGACAGTGGTTATATGATTTCAAATGCAGAGGCTGATTCTGTTGAATTGTATGATTATAATCCTAGTACTAGTATTAGTAGTTCTAGAGACGAAATAATGAAATTGGTAATTCGTCAGCTGATAAACAACGAGCCCCGCCCTTGCTAAAGTGCACATCCATTTTGACTGTTTTTAGGCTTACCAAACTAAACCCAAATGAAAAGATATGAAAAATGTATGGTAAATTTTCCATTTACCATAATAAATGTTAGTACATACAAGAATACAGTGCAAATATTTTATAATAGCAACACATTGTTTCCAGTGGAACTAGTTAAATTTTTTTTGCAAATTTTTTGTGCGATGGTGACAATGGATAATGTGCTCTGGTGTTTAATTTTTTCTTTTTTTAAAGTTGATCTTTATTATATGTGATGGACATATGGATATAGTTCAGAAAAAAACATTTTTGTTACACTTTGGATTATATATTTCTCTTGGTGTGACTTGGAATGAGCGTTTTGTGAACAGTAAGTTGTTCTTTTTTAATTTTTATTTTCCTGAAATAACAATCACATTTTTTATATATTAAAATTTAAACCCAAGTCTGGTTTGATTGTAAAGGGCATACATTCTCCTTTAAACTTAACATTTTCTGATGAAAAACAAACAAGTTATGATGGTTTAGAGATAGCATAGTAGTGCCTAACAAATATGCAAAATTTGATAATTCGTCAGAATGCGGAAAATAATTCCGGAGAGGAAGAGTTAAGCATTTAAATCAAACTCAGCCCAGCAAAACGTGCCAAAGTGTCCTCATTTTTATAGCCATTTTAATTGTTTCTATAGTATAGTAGTTACTATCCTAGTGTCTCATTTTTATTTTACTTAGTTTACATGTTTTTAATAATTGTAAAGCGCTTAGAGCTTTAAGGTAAGCGCTATATAAAAATGCCTAAATAAATAAATAATTGACAAAAGTGAAATAAGAATGTTTAAAATTCTTTCCATTTACCTGCTCACTGTATCTGCGGATGAGCTTTGGCCCTGGCTTCCCTGGTTTAGGGAATGAAGGAGGTGGAACAGTCAGCTCATCCTTGAGTTCTGAATCTCCTTTCCTACTCTTGTTGCTGGCTCTGACATCAACGGCTGCTGAATGGGACTGATGCACTGAAACACTGGATGGGTGGGAACATGTCAGGTCCATCTTTTGAGCTGACGTAGACTGGTGAAGCTCATGTTCCTCTTTCATCTGATGCTGCTGTTGTTCTTTCGCTCTTTCCAGTTGTTCAACCTAAAGTATATATATATATACATATATTTATTTTAAAAATAAATTTTTTCTCCTTTCAGAAACCTCATGGGATTCCTAGCATTAACCCTTTCTGCCACAACTGGGTGTAATATACCTGGAGACAGACTTTGATTGCTGATATCTCGAGTCTCCTTTTAAAAAGCTTTCTCATATTCTACCTTATCCACAGGAGAAGCCCTTGAGGAGGTGGACAGTTTTGTTTACCTTGGCAGCATGGTAGATAAACAAGGTGGTACAGATGCAGACGTCAAAATAAGGATAGGAAAAGCAAGAGCAGCCTTCCAACAACTCAATAATGTTTGGGTCTCTAACAACTTAGGCAGCAAGTTAAAAGTAAGGATTTTTAACGCTATGGTAAAACCTGTGCTGCTATATGGAGCCGAGACATGGAGAACAACGGCCGTAAACCTGACCAGAATCCAGTCCTTCATCAACAACTGTCTAAGAAGGATTCTCAGAATTCACTGGCCAGACAAAATCAGCAACCAGGATGATTCTCCAGAAGCGGTGGAGGTGGATTGGTCATACACTAAGAAAACCTGCTTCTAACACAACAAAGCAAGCCCTGAAATGGAACCCACAGGGTAAGCGGAAAAGAGGCCGTCCAAGAAACACTTGGCGCCGAGAATTGGAGACAGACATCAAGAAAATTGGCCATGAATGGAAGATCCTGGAAACTGGCCCAGGATAGAGATGCCTGGAGGTCTTTCGTAGGTGGCCTATGCCCTTGGAGGAACCGCAGACGCCGACGATGATCGGTGGATGCCCCTCATGGACGAGAAGGCTCAACAACCTTATCCACAAGGTAGTTGGAATGAACACCTTGGTGGATGCAACTGTATAAATTAAAGCTGGCGAAAGTGACTTTTATTTTTTGAGTCCTAATCTTTTATTCAACAGTCCCTAGCAACTGGGTGCAACACACCCGTGCATAATTTAATAGAAGAAAAAAGCGTCATCATTAATAGCATTTATTCAACTTAACAACCAATTTCAAAGTAGACCAGTCACATGGACACATGGAAAATAGGGGTTTGCAGCTCCGCTTGCACAGATTTTACATAAAAGAACAGAATGTTCTTTGCAAATACAGTGGAACCTCTCATAACGAGCACCTCTAATAACGAGTAATTCGCATAACGAGCAAAAAAAAATGTGAAGAAGTTGCTCCCTTAACGAGCGATATTTCGCATAACGATTTACCCAGAAAGGGGAAGTCCCTTTTTCCTGACATTCATTTGTAAGCCGAACTTCAGCACCGATGCATTAGTCCAGCGGTTCTCAAACTGTGGGCCGTGACCCCTTTGAGGGTAGCGCAGCCCTTTCCCAGGGGTTGGCTTAGACTATCTGAAAACACATATTCTTACAGCTATGAAGTAGCAACGAAAATAATTAGGTTGCTGGGGGGTCGCCAAGACACGAGAAACTGTATTAAAGGGTCGCAGCACTAGGAAGGTTGAGAACCATTGCATTAGTCTGTGTTTAGCACTCGGTCTGTTAGCGTATTGTTTTCGTGTGTGATCACCAGTTTTTACAAATTTTGTATTCAAGACAGTATTCGTAATTTTTTTATGTGCAAAGTGTAATAACCTATGCTAAAATGTCTTCGAAAAAAACAAACACAAGAAGAAAAATGATAAAAGAGAAATAATAACTGTTGAAATGAAACGTAAAATCATTGAAAAGCGAGAACAAGGTGTGGCTATTCGTGCTACAAATTTATTCAATGATAATGCTGTGACACATTTTTGTCAAATTTTGAAGCGTCGACAAAAACAAATGTCTTTAGACAGTTTTCTAGTTAAAAAGGATTAATTATTCATATTTTTATTTACGTTTTTTGTTTCAAATCTAAATTGTATTCCAAGTTGTTACACTCCTTAACAATTCATAAGTAATTTTATTTGAATAAATGTTAAATTTTTTTGAAAAATTAGTATTTTTTCAGCATGGAGCGCATTATCGTATTTTACATTGATTTGTATGGGAAAAATTGTTTCGTTTAACGAGTGTTTCACTTAAAGAGTAAGAGTCTGGAACGAATTAAACTTGTTATGAGAGGTTCCACTGTATGTCTAATAAACTTGCTGAGTTGAAGTGGTTTGGGCACCTGTTTGAAGTGTTCGTAAAGATTTCACAACACTGGCGATGTTCTGCCTCACAATCTCTTGGTGCACAGGGACAGATCATCTCTACTTGCGGCCGGGTGAGGAAATGTGCAATACTGAACATCAATACTGACTGTCTGTTGTCTTCATGAGACAGTGAGTTAGTCGGGATATTTATATTTAAATGCCACTCTTGCTACAATTGATGCCAAATCAACAATGTTGAAAACCGCAACCAAAGGCAATCTTTTACTTCAGTTTTTAGTATTCACAGAGAATATTGCTGTTTGGTCCATGGCGAATATGTCTCCTTTGATTTTGTTGTTATAAAAGACAATCTCTGGTTTCTTGCATTCATTTTCACTTTCTATATCTGGACTATTGTGTATTGTGTCCAGGAGCAATACATTTTTCTGCTTTGTGCTCTGGTATTTGACAAAGTTGTTTCTGGTCTGAACAAAAACACTAATTTGTTGAGTGGCAGAGCCTTTGAGTCTGTTTTTGGCCATTGGTTCTGCAAGTTGTAGGGGGAATGAAATAATAGTCTGTTTTGAAATTGCGGCCACTTCCATACAATTTTTTTCTTTGTGTCTTTGCTTTTTTAAATTTTTAAATTTTTTAACATCATACATATTTTCATAACATTATTTTTAATGAGAAACAACTGAATTTTAAAAATTTTTATTAATGGGAAATTGAACGCTGTCTCAAACTCAAAGAGCGTATTCTAGATTAAAATACTCCACTATGAAATAAATTTTATCATAATGTGAGAGCCAACACTGAGAGGTCTACTCAAGGACACACCAAAGATACACTGGTCCATTTATATATTATCCTTCATTTATTGAAAGTTTGACCTATCAGCGGATTTTAAAGTAAGCCAACTTTTCCCCACCAATCAATGTGCAGAACTTTGGCTAAAAAAAAAGGGAGAATATAAGGTTGGGTTGGGGGTGTATATGTGTCTTCATATTAGAATGAGCAAGAGGATGCATAGGTGTGTAGAAGCAGATTCAAACAACAAAAGAAAAAGGTCAGTAGACCATTGATTCATGTTTTGGTAACGGATAAAAAAAAAAACACTTAAAAAAAAAAACTTGAATAAGTTTTTGCAACAAAAGTTGTTTAAAAAGCTTATTGCTCAATTTCACACAGGTAAGATCAGCCCAACTTACCTGGTTAGCCAGATTATAATGACCTTTCTGTCTTGCCAATGTCAACGGCAGGAGACCATCTTTATTGCACATTTTCAGAGGAGATGCATTCCAGTGGTATAAGGTCAAGGCTGCATCTATTTTACCAAGAGCACATGCCCACATCTGAAAAGGGGGAAGAGGGGGGGGGGGGGGGGGAAGGAAAAAAAATTGTTGGATCAGAAAAGAGTGCAACTGAAATATTTTCCAACTTTCTTAACCAAAATCACTCAGGCCTAGGCAACTTTGTTTTGTACACTGTGCCAGGGGAGGGTTGACAGCCAATTTTTATCCCATGCCAAGTAGGCTGCTGTCTTCCCGCTTCAGAGGTTGAGGTCATTTTATTAAAAACTCAGTGATTTACCCTACCCCAAGAATAGCTGTTGTATTTGCCTGACAAATTCAATCTACCTGGCTATAGGCCCATGGTTGGGCGTGGCAAAACTGGACACACATTAACCTGCTATCTGCTTGTACTGAGGAATACATGATACCTTTGCTCCAATTTAGTATAGGTAGTCAAAATGCAATTCATGGTTGGTTCGTATTCTCCATAGATGGTAGCAGAAATAGAAAAGGGTAGGCTACGCTGGGAAGGACACTAAGAGAGAATGCCAAATGACAGATGAGTGAAGAAGAGGTGCACCACCAAAATCCCAGAGGAAAACGGCTCAAAGACAGACCTAGCCTTAGATGGATGGATGACAAGGAAAAAGATCTATAACAACTGGGAATCCAAGCATGGAAAAGAAAAGCATTGGTTAGGTCTGAGTGGAAGGAAGTAGTGGGGCAAGCCAAAGCCCTACATGGGCTGTAGCGCCACAGGGATGGATGGATGGTGAAAATGCAACTATGAGCACAAGTAAATTGTAGCAAAGTAAATATGAGATTAGATATGCATGTATACAATTAAACACACATCAGGAGTTGTTACCAAGTTACCAAGGGAAACTCTATCATCCTGACCTGCATCAATTCTCATCCCATTAAACACAGCAAAGAACAACATAACCCCCCCCCCCCCCCCCCCCCCCCCAAATCGCCATTCACAAGACAAGATAAGATAGAAATTGTCAGCAACTAACCAAAGGTGTACAGGCGTGACTATCAACACTCTGAGCGTCAACCTCAAACTCCAGGGCAACACAGCTGTTATCCATCCTGAAACACAAGACATGGGTCTGGCATAGGATTGGAACTAGTGCAAATGTTGCTAGATAACAACAAAATCGGATGAAAATTAAATATATAATGAGTAATAAAAACTTATGCTTCACAATGTTTACCTCCAACGTATGAGGCATGAGATGAGCTTCGCAAACCCCAGGCCGGCGGCAAGGTGCAACAAGGTGAGGTTGTGCTGTCCTGCCTTGGGGTAAAGGTTGGAATCTGTCCAGGTCTGATTCAGCATGGACTGAACTTGATGGACTAAAGCAGACTCCAGGGTCTCTGGATCATTTGAAATGTTGTCCTAAGGAAGAGAAGTAAGTAAAAGTCAATTAAGACATCTCACCGACAACAAGAGATTTAAAAAAGAAATCAACAAATAATCTACATGTTGTTTTCCTTTAATAAAAAACATTTTCGTGTGCATGAATAAAAGGTTGAACTGTGGTTAAATATAATGGAATAATTAGCAAACGGCAAAAATCTGCTCGTAATCATTTGTGAAAAGTCATAACAAGCCTTTGGTTTTCTACATACCTGCAGGGGTGATATGGAAATTACAAACCGTCGACGTAGATGATCTAATCTTTCAACCAATAGTAATTTCAATTGATTAGCTGCGAAGAGGACAACATGTTTAATCTTATTGATTGGTGATACCAAGTTTCTTAAAAACTAGTTGAAATAAATAATTATAATTTGTTTTGCTAAAATTAATGTAACGGTTCACATTCCCATAAAAAAAAGTTGAAGGAAATTTAATTGATGGATGTCATTTAATCTGTTGTTACCATACTTATATGAATAAATTAATCATAAAGTGGACAGAAATAAAGCTTGAAAACACATTAAGTACAACAAGGAATTGCAAAGCTTAACAAAAGTCAAGTTGGGTCAACATCCACCTGGTCCTGTAGTTAGTTGTTTTTTTCTACGCCTCACAACAATACATTCACACAAGTCTTACAGTCTAGTCTTTGGCAAACCACGCAACTCTTACAGTCAATGGCAAACCACTTAAGTCTTACAGTCTATGGCAAACCACTTAAGTCTTACAGTTAATGACAAACCACTCAAGTCTTACAGTCAATAGCAAACCACACAAGTCTTACAGTCAATCGCAAACCACTCTGGATGCGTTGTGCTGGTATCACGACACTCTCTATCACAGAATTCAAAGACTTCACAGTTGGAAATGACGACACCATTACGAGCCACTTGTAGAGTGACGTACCCTGGGTTGTGGTCTGGGGAAGAACGTGGGGGTCAATGAGAACATAATCCGCTATTCAGGCGTAAGGCACAGAAACGTTCTTGTCTGTTTTTAGATTTACTTTGGTAAATTGATGAAATCTTTTGTAGCCTTGTGGTTGGCAAACGTGCTCGAGGCCAGGAGGCAATAAGAATTTGGGTATTAAATAATAAATGTTTATTGCAGCAAATTTTATAATAAAATACTGTGTTAAAGAAATAAGTTTACATTGCGTGTAGCATCTGAGAAGTCCAGGCTGCAGCAAGATGGCCGGCAGATGCTCTCCATCAAAGACGCATGTGTAGCTGGAATTCTCACTAAACCAAGGTCCAGCAACCAAGATCTTGGTGTTGGTCTGGTCAGGAATACAAACATGTGTTATAATAATGTGAATTTCAAATGTATTAAGAGGTTTGACAGTGACTGAATTCATTAAATTACAATAACCAATTGAGCAACCATTGTGATACATATTTGTTGATAGAGTTTAAATTTCGGATGCTTAAAAATTAAAATATAAATATTGATAATTAAAGGTGATGTTAAATATATACATAAAATTGTAATTGTTCTCCAAAGATGCTTCACTGTTAATCTGACTCATAAATTACATATCATTAACAACCTTTCATTAAAAATCAAACAAAACCAAAGCATGAGCAATATGGTATAATGTTGTAGCTAGTTAGAATATGACATCAGTTTGTCTACCTTGGTGTAGGCCTAATCAGGGCTCGTTAAAATATGTGTCTGCCTTGGTGTAGGCACAATTAGGGCTGAAGCTAATTAGAATATGTGTCTAGCTTATTGTTGGCACAATTAGGTCTGAAGCTAGTTAGAATATGTGTCTACCTTGGTGTAAGCCAAAACAGGTCTGAAGCTAATTAAAATATGACTTGAGTGTGTCTACCTTGGTGTAAGCCCAGTCAGGGCTGAAGTCTTTTATCACAGTATCGAGTTCAAGGTCCTCATCATGGCCACTGGCCTGGTGGTTCATATCATTATCACATGTCAGTTGGTGGGGCTCTGGGGAGCTGCCCAGCAGCATGGGGGTGTAGGAGAGCGATGACGGAGGCTGAGCACCAGGATGGAGTGCGGAGGTAGAAGGCTGCTGGCCTCCGTGTTGCTGGCTCTGATGATGGTATACCATGTTACCACTAACACAGTCGAAGGGGGACAGGTTCCCTGTTGCAGCAAAATAAAATTATGAGCAATGAAAGTGCTGGGTTAATAAAGCTATGCATGTTTAAAGATAATCTTACTTAGATCATCGATGTGAAACAAAGCACATTTATTTTAAAACTGACCCGAGGAATGGAACCTATTGCAAACCGAGAACTGCCTGTTTTAAAGATATAAGAAATCGGAAGATTTTGTTGGCTTTTAACTTTCTAGCTCTGGATGTATGGAGATCATGAATACCTGAGAGAGTGCTCTGCCCCTGTGTCATCAAGTTCATACCACCATCATTGCACACTTCCTTCTCTGAAGCAGCCGTGTCATTGTTGGTCAGTGGTTGTTGGGACATATCGGTTGGTGTGAATGGCGAGCAGCCGAGGTCAGACACATCATCCAGGTCATTGAGGTCCAGAAGGTCATCCAAGTTGAGATCAGCGCTGGGCAGGGATGAGAAGCTGCCATCAAGGGTATCACAGGAATTCGGGTTAGTGATCTGTGAAGGGAACATTAATGAAACAGACAATCGACCTACACATGAAACTCGGGGCATTGAATTTTTAGGGGGGGGGGGGGGGGGGCGGATCACTGTTCATATATAAGGGGGAAAAAAAATCACTGTTTATATATCTACAATTTGCTTTATCATCTGCATGTACGGTATGGGGTTTGATTGGAGAACATTACCTAACCAGTCTAGCTGGTCCAGTTTTACTCAAGGGGGAAGGTTTTGATGGAACAGGCTTATAATTCAAATTTTAAAAAATAAAATCATGGCATCTAACTCCTGCAGCCCTAACACTACCAACATTACAGTGTTAGCGATGAGCACCGATATCTCACCATATCTTTGACAGAAGAGTTGAGTCCTGAAGGTCCAGCCATCAGGTCAGAAGAAGACTCCAGTCGTTGTTGGGGATGGTTGAGTCCTAGGACTTGAGCTTGATGAGGTTGTAAGATGACTTGCTGAAGGGAGAACACAGTGGAAGATTCTGAGGACCCATTTGATGAGGCCCCTGTGAAATTGGGGTGGCTCTGGTTGGTGAGGAATGAGCTGTTGTAGCTTGATATGGTGATGTCTTTACGAGAGTGATCAAAAGATGAGAGGGGTCTGGCATTTTTATCGGAGTCCTTTTTAATGTCCGAGAAATTACTGGTGAAGGTCATGTCATGGGTATTTACAGGAAACATGTCATTTTCACCTTTTGTGGGGAATGGTTTCGAGTCTGTCTGGGAAAGTGGGAAGATGTTCTTAAACTGTGAGTTGTCCAGATGCTGCTGGCACTGGTTGTTTTCTGTTGTGGTTGTCATGGGTGACGAGTAGCTGAAGACTTGAGACAGTTTGTCATTAGATCCAGACTGGGTGAACATGGAAGTTGTCATGGCCACAGGTGTGCTGGTGAACTGAGGTGAACACATACTGTTTGGGGGCTGCTGGGGGAAGGTCTTGTTGGCTGATGACCCAGAAGCACAGCTGTGTGCTGGGGTGTACGAATTCATTGGTTGGGTATTTTGTGATATCCTGTTCAAAATGAGAGAGCCTGATGGGCTTTGACTAGCTACCAGGACAACACCCTGGCCATTGGAGAAATTCAGGGACTGCGTAGAATTTGTGTTGAAGCCAGAGAAACCAACCTGAAAAATAATGGTTACAATAAAAAAATGATTTATAAAAATATATTTTTTTATACCATTAAGAAAGAGCAATTTTTCTAAAACAATTTAGAAAATCTTCCATGGAAATACCTTGAAATTGCTATTGGCTTTGTTTCTTTCTAGATTTCATTAACAATTAAATAATATCTATTATTTTCTTCAGGATTAAATATATCTTAGTTCATGGCTTGTTTAGAACACAAAAATGTCTCTTTTTTTACTGTTTTAAAATATTTATTGAGACAAAATTTAACAAACGGTCCAGCATCCTTAAGAAAATTACTTGTCCAGATTCCTTGGTCTGGAATTTTATTTTTACTGCTAACATTGCAAACTGAAAAAAAGCCTTAATTGAAAAACCAACCAGATTTAATAAGCCTAATAATTTTGGTGAACCAGAGACAACTACAAGAAGATCTAAAACTGAAACAAATGTAGCTAGATTTTATGAATAAAAATAAAGTAGCAGTTTTCAACCTGGTCATTGTGCTGAGAGACAATGGTTGCTCCCTGCAAGCTGAGTACAAAGCCAGGACTGTCGGATGATGAGCTATTGGTAGGTTTCAGGTGCAGGGTCAAGACTGGGGGAACCTGCTGCTGATTCTGTTGTTGGAGGAGATACTCTGACTGCTTGAAATAAAGATTTCCAGTATTAGGAGCAACATTTTTGGTAAATTTGGATCTTACATAACACTCAGTTTACACAGAGCCTTGTTGTTGATTTCATTTGGGGGTAGTGTATTGCTGTCACCTAAACAAGGGACACACAAGAGTTATCCACTGTTTAACCCAAATTTTGACTACTTTTTTTATTTTTATTATATCTCAGAACCAAAATCAACTATTTTCCCACCCAATGGGTTCTTCTAAGCTTGTCAGACTTAAAAATTATAGTAAAATTGTGGATATAAACTAATTGGTAGTTTCTGTTAAAATAAGGTACGAGCAGGAAGTTCTTTTAAATAAAAATTCTGTAAGAAAGAGTCCTCACTTTGCAAAACTGAGAACAAAGCTTACCAGTTTGATTTGCTGTGCTTCTAGGTTACCCTGTGTAAAGGAATGGTTCTGTTGAGCAACGGTTTGGTAGTGATGTTGTTGCTGCTGCTGCTGGAGGAAATGATGCTGAGAGCCAGAGTTGGTTGGATTTTGAGATTCTTGGCTCTGTAGATAGTGCTGTTGGCACACACAAATAACTTAAATAGTATGTCATTCCAAATGTTTTCAAAAGTTTAAGCCCCGCCCCTCCAAGGAAAGGAATTTGCATGGTCAAGATTTTTGGAAAAATGAATTTATTTCTTTTTACAGAAAATTTTAACAATCATGAATGACACTATGGTATTTTTTAAAGAGGGAAAGTTAAAAAATTTCATAAAATGAATTTGCATCAGTGATATCTTTGTTGTGGAATATGGGAGTTCACTAATAATTTTTGCGCACTTGGTATTGTGTTTGAATATGCGCAGTGTGTTTTTGAGAGAGTAATTAGTTATTGAACGCTCTTCCAAGCGCTTTAATTGGTGACATATTTTTATGGTTATTATGACATATTTGTCTGTCTGTTTTATGATGTATTGCTTATTAGTGGGCAGTGGTGAAAAGAACATTGTAGGAAATAGTTGTGTATTATTCTTTGATAGCAAACTGTGCTATACATGTGTTGATAAAATGTACCTTTTGGGGATATATTTATATATTTAAGTTGCATTAATTGTGGAAAAGGAATGTATTCAGTATTATTATGACATATGAACAACATGTAAAAGAACCTGATGAAGCAAACCAATCGAGTATACAAGGACTTTGACACTAGTATTAGACGCATTTGTTTTTAAACTAAAGAAATGGTGGTCAAAATCAAACCAACAATTACCCAGACGTATGGTGTTTGATATTTTTGTGGTAAAAAAAAAAGGTAGTGAGAACAAACTGAGAAAAACTTACATTTATATTGATGCTAGATGAGGGTGACACCCCCTTCTCTTGACCAGCCACTGTTGTCATTGTATTGAGGGCAAGTGGAGAGAGTGAGTGGGTCTGAGGGTTAGAAGGTGAGCCAGCTAATCCTTGACTGGAATAGATGGGAGAAAGGGTGGGTAGAAGCTGGCTCTGGGGTATGGAGTACAACAGGTTCCCATTGTCTACATTTTGATTGTCACATGCCTTGACACTGGAGCTGGTCATGACAACATCCGTCCCTATGGTAAGGAATCTAGGGGTGTTGGCGGCGCTGGCCACCGACTGGGTAAGGAATTCGGAAATATTGTTCTGGCCGGTGATCTGCAGGGTCTGACTGTCTTGCGGGAGGTGGTTATCTATACTGAAATTCTGAGCATGTGATGCAGTGATCGTGTGAGAAGGGTGGGATGACTTTTGTTGTACAAGACTGTGACCGCTTAAGGAATGGACAGTTGGAATAAGCCCAGAGGTGTGCTGCTGTAGGGATGGTAGCTGCTGGGCCTGAATAAGGTGTGGAGAGAGCAGCGTGGGTTGTAGGGGTGTTGGCCTGCCGGAGATCTGAGTCTGCAGGGATTCCTGTGGGCCGGACTGGGGCTCTGCCATGCGAAGCTGTTTTCTGATTGGCCTTTTCAAAGAGGATGATGATGCAGACGTTGTGGATGGGGTAGAGGAAACTGTTGTTACTTGCGCAGGAGCTAAAGGTCTGGTCATGACTTGGACAATTTTACTGCTCTCCTGCATCGGCATCAGCACTGGTAGAATTTCTTCAAGCATTTGTTCCACCTCATTCATGAAATAAAGGATGAAATTAGACAGCAGAAAAAAATAAACATTCTAAACTTAATTAGCATATGGCCGCAAATCAAGACACTTTGACAATCAATACATAACACTTATTCTTCAATGAATAATAAGAAAAATTATGTTTAAAAAAATAAAACCGTCATGTTAATGATTGGAGAGAAATTTTTTCAGTTACCTTCTGATCCTCTTCAGCATCATGTTCTGTACCTTGAACCACACGCGACACTAAAGATTAAAAAATTTTGAAGGATTACAAAAATAGAAGGACAACATTTAAAAAGCTGAAAACAGATGTTACTTATTTTTATAATGTGTAGAGAATTAAACTCTTATTTTACTATATGGTTCGTGACAAACAGTAAATAACAAAGGACAATATGATTACCGTATTTATTGGCGTATAACACGCCCCGCGTATAACACGCACCTCAATTTAAGAAGGAAGTTTCAGGAAAAAAAAACAACTAAACATTATATCGGCGTATAACACGCACACATGATTTGCCGCCTATTTTCGGGGAGAAAATGTGCGTGTTAAACGCCAATAAATACGGTAATTAAATACAGTAATAAAGAACGATACCCAAACTAGTGCTAATTACAGATTATGATTTATTAAAGCTAAATTTAAACTACAAAATCAAATGAAATAAAACTATTCATTTACATTACAGCAATGAACTGGTACCAATACAATGTTGGGAAAGTGCTAACCCACACAAATCTACGGTCAGTACATTACCAGTCTATTAGTCTCACTCTCAACTCGTATCATAATTGTATTCTCTGTCTCTTTCTCTTTGTCTCGCAGTCTTCACTTAAATCTGTTCATCTGTCCCCCTCCCTCTGTCAATCAGCTTATTTATTGTCTTTCATAGAGACTTTTTCAGAGAGTCCAGAAACATTGTATCTGCACCTAGGGCTCTCGCATAGGTTCCACTGAACCCTACTAGGTACTGTGTTTACATGTAGTCAAGGTCAAGGGAGACAATTTATCATTAAGCGACACCCATCATTTTGCCAAACTCAGGATCACCCAGAGTTCATACACAAGATACGTGATGTAAACAAGACAAGCTTCTACCCTAACAATAGAATAAAAAAATGTTCATTGAAAAGCAGGAAAAAGATCTATTGTCAATGATATCAGCAGGGAAAATAAATACTTTCATCTGAAGGAGACATGCTATGAAATTAATTTAAGTCTTTTATTTGTACAAATTCCTTGACAGAGCTCAATGAGTTTCACCTCGTACAATGTTAATACCCTATAATATTATACATTCTCTTAGCAGTCCAACGTATTACATTTTCATTTCTGTTGTATGGAACATGGGACATTTTTTAAAGCTATCCCCTTTTAAACTGAACCCCATGTTATTAACACCATGTGCTAGTAGTTTCTGAACCTTGTCCCATTAACAAATTTAAGCATTCCTAGAAAACTTATAATGGCAGCCCAAACTTTTCTAAAATTCCCAATAACATGATTTTTTTTTTTTTTTAAAATAGAAGTTTCCCAGTTTAAAAAAAACTGCCACAAGCATAGGGTAAAAAACACATGTTTATTGAAATGCTCACACATAGGCCTGAGCTGATCCACCAATTCCTCTTTGGTCCAGTCTTTCTGTCTCAGTTCATAGGACAATGAGGGGATGGAGGGCTTGGCCGCCTCAGGATATGGAACATTCAAGTAGTGGATGAGAACTATATTTGGATTCTTTTTAGGAATGAAAAAAAAACAACAATTGTTGACATGGAATGTGAAAGGAAGTAATATTTAAAACCGATTGTTAATCATCTTAGAGAGCTTGCGTTTTATTAATCAAAGAAAACAAATGACATTACAGAAAAATAACTAAATACACAACATAATGAGATTAAAGAAATAAGATAAATTAAATGGTCCTCATTCTGAATATTCAAAGCAAGATATGCCAATCAGGTCTATTTTTATTATTTCTACAAGAGAATAGAACAGAACACAACTCTTGTGAAGGAATTTAATCATACTCAGGTGGCAATATCAACATAAGCAACATGGAGGTATGAATAACAAAACGGTTTCTAAAATTTCTGTACTTCCTCAAGATTCTCTCTCAAGTATAGTTTTACAATATTTATACATTTTTACAGTGACAATTAACAAGTATTTTTGATTTACCTGCAGCAGCCAGTAACATCGCCGATGAAAAGTGGGCAAAATGGCAGAATGGACATAAGATCCATAGATACACTGTCAAACACAATAAAACATTTTTATTTTGTTGATCAGAAATATTCATGTGTGAAAAATATATAAAACACAAATTAATATTTATACTAGGGTTAACAAAATTTTATTGACCTCTAATCCTTGAACTTTGAGTTTCATGTGATCTTCTCTGATGGTGCTGCCATTTCTTCGCTTCTTCCAACAATAGCCATCCCTGCGGTAAAACACCACTTTCCTGTTGTAAAGCAGCATAGACCCGCTTGCAGGCCTGAAAGACACAAATAAATCATAAAAACTGAAAACTATAAATACATAAGAACTGAAAATTATAAATTTCTTTTTTTTTTACTTAAGAGTGTGATTAATTTCAACATATTATAGAACTAAGTTAGAATAAAAGGAGAAAAATTGCTAAATAAATGTTATCAAAATGTTACATTAATCATTCGAATTTACTGAGGTCAAAGCAAGTTCATATTTGGTAAAAAGTCAAAGATCAAATAAATTGCATCTCCCATAATTTTTTAAAAGACAGGAGCATAATCAGAGATGGATAACACTCAGCAGACAAAAAACAACTTTGAAATGCAAAAGTTCATGCAGTTAGCATGGCTGAGTGAAACCCAGTTCTCAAAGCATTTAAAAATAAATTATAACAATCATATCGCATTCAAGATTTAACTTAAAAACTTGACTCTAATTAAACCTCATTTGACAAATATAAAATCTTGTCAGCATAAAAAAATATCTGTTTTGCTGTTACTTTTTTTCTTAAGCTGAAATTGAAGATGAGCTCTTAATTACACATTTCATGCTACCAGAAACATATTAATTCCAAAGCTGTCTTACCTTATCTTTTGGGGCAAGACAAGCCATTCTTTGTGACGATCGAAGGCAATCAAAATTGAGGCTATTTCCTATTGATGATTGAACGTAAAATAAAAAAGCTTAACTTTTCATTTTAACATTCTGTATAAGTTAATTAACTGATTGAGTCAATGAATTAAAAAAATATTGATAAAAAAAAAGTTAAGTACCATGCTGTGCATAAAAGGGCCGTTATATATAATAATTATTATTTTTAAAAAAAATAGATTCACCTCATTTGTATTCCATCGATGTCGAACACTAACAAACTCTTCTGCAGGTGTAATTTTTTGCAATTGTTCTGGGAGTTTTATGCTCACCATACCTAGTATATATGGATAAAAAGTAGAAAAATATAAATGCTATTTTATATCTGAAAGATGTCACATCACTGTATGAATATAAAAAAAGAATTTAAGATTTGTCTGGCAATACTGTGAAAGAGTTAACAATACATTTTCAAAATGATCCTTTGCTGTACAAATTTGTGAGTCCACTGACATTATTGGTAAGGCTCATTACTTACAATCATTAGACTGATTTATCAAAACATAACGGGGAATAGTAATGGCAAGAAGAAACCATAAAAAATGAATAGCAAATGCTCACCCTCAGTATCATCTACTGGTTCAGGAGTTCCATCACGCTGGTCCATTTTTGAGGAAGTTGAGGGAGCCTCATCCAGCTCCTCCATTGTTCCTCTCCCCAGCAATGTTACTACGTACTCATAATGGAATTCTTGTAGCTCCTTTTATTCACTGTTGGCAATTGCAAACATAATCAGATAAGCATAAACTATTCTAAAAATAAGATAAAATTGTAGCCTAATTTTTTTCTTTTTCAAGTATTTTTCTTTTTCCTTTCTTAATCCTAGTTTATCCTCTCCTGGCTTTGCTTATCAAATTTTTTTAAGCCTCCTAAAGTAGTTTAAAACATCTTAAGAAACCCATCCCTTTTAATTTCCATGACAATGCACAAGTCTAATAAGAAAATCAGTTAAATAATAATTTAAGAATTGTTTATTCATTAATTATTGTGACTTGATTCCTATAAAAATCTTTAGAATAAATGGATGTTACGTTACGTTAATTACTCAGTTCTCAAGCATGTCTTTCCAATTTGGACTAATGATTACTGATATTATAATAGGGTGGTACATACATAGGGCCATTAGGGCATGAAACTGAAAGGCCTAAGCCTAAACCTACTGAACTGAATACTAATAAAATGAGAGTGACTGAAGCAAATAAAAGTATATTAATGCACCAAATGATATTTAACTGTATTGTATTATTATTATTATGGATTTGATTGGTGTCAGTCCAGAGTCAGAGCCAATGGTTTTAATGATCAATGATTAGAAAATAAAACAATTTGTGCTTTCCAGTTTTATTTTAAAAGCCAATAATAACACTAAGATAAATCGGTTTTGATTTTATTTTGAGTGTTTTAACAATTTTAAAAATTATTAATTAGTCTAATGTTTAGTTTACTTACAGTTACACACCACACTAACTTTAAATAAATAATAGTATAGTCCATGAAGTCATGAAGGATTGAATCAATTTGAATGAGAAAAATATCAGAAAGATGCACTAATTTTGATAGTCGTAGATGACATTATGATTATACCCTACCCTGAATAAGTGAAATATTTTCTCCAAAATAACTTGGCCTAAATCTTCACTTCATCATTTATAAATCAACTTAAAAGAAAAAGTAAGAAAATAGAAGAAAAAAAAGTAGAAAGCCCTGAATCAGTGAATAATCTTAAATAAAGTCATACATACAAAATAGGAAGGACACTGGAAGGAGGAACTACAATTGATTAACTCAAAAGGGAGCATTATGAAATAGATATGAACATACTTTTCGTTTCACGATTGTAAGGATTAAGACCCAATATAACATTTGTCAATTAAGAAAGATGTTAATTTGTCTATTAGTCGTACCCGTGTATAATTCGATTACATTATGAGCTGAATGCGCATGTACAACCGGAAGATAATAATTTATTTCTTGGTCGCAGAGGTAAACATACAGTTGTTATTCAACTGCCCGGTAAACTATTTTTAAAAACTATTAATTAAATTAATGTTTTTAAATTACAATCACAAGCGCAGTATTCATATTTCTATTTAATATTTTTGTTAGCACAAGATTTTCATGGAAAAAAGCAATGCTTTACTGTAACTAATTTAACAAAACTAAAATACAATTACTTCTCCTTGCAGTACAACTTCTACCACACAAACCAGGGGAGTAAACTCATTAAAAATTACTGTTAAAAATACATTAGTAATGGTTTTTGTTAATACATTGATATTCTTATAAAATAAATATGATGCGTTATTTTTGATATGCAACAAATATTATTTTAATTAGTGGCAAAATTAACGAAAGGAGTAAAAGATTTACATTCTGATAAAAGAGTGAGATCGGCCTCATCGAGACTTTGGAAAATATTAAATATTTTGAAAACATGTAAAATTTTATTAGGATTACTTTTAATTTTAACGAATGGCTTTCTCAATTAATTTTAAAAAGGTTTTCCCCTTGACTTTGGGTCAGTACTGGTAGGGGAGGCAATACGTACTCAAAGAAAGTCACATTTTCACTTTTTTTTCCTCCACCAAAAAAAAAAACAAAAAACAAACATACAAAACCCACCAATCAAAAAAAAAAAGAAACACCAACGATCGATAATCATGAAGTTAAAGTCAGTAAAAAATGTGTCGCGGGTTTTCAAGGCTGTTTGAGTTTGACAAGCCCTGTCACTGCTCAGTTGTCCCCATATGCACCACATCACCCTGGGGTGCCGCATAGCCCTCGGGCAGGGGCATAAGAAGAGGGCGAAGGGGGTATTCGTTCCGGGAGCAAACATCAGGGAGCGCCTAAATGGTCCTAAGATAGTACCTTAATAGGACATCAAACAATTAAATCTTACGTACCGGTACTTCACAAAGACAAGGGGCGCCAAAAATCGTATTCTTACTGGCCACCCCGGGTGGCATTTTTTCTATATATTGAAGGTCGACTTATTCAGGATTCGCAATGGATGCCGCTATTCAATCGGCATGACCCTGTCCTGTTTTTGTCGTGGATTCATCACAGGGTCACCGTGAAAGATTACATGAGCAACAATAACTCACTTGCGTAACAATGAATAACAGTTTGCAGTTACAAGATGACGCATAGTGAATTGCAAACCTGTTTTATTTATTCCTACCCAAACATTAATTTTATTATCTTTTTAAAATAGTATATATATTTTGAGGTGTTCTTGTAAGAATTTAACAAAAGGCGCCTGGTGCAAACCAAAGTTTGGCAAGGGCACAGGAAATTATTTTTTTTTAAAAAAGAAGAAAAAAAGAAGGAAAAACTGGCGTAGCCGAACAAAATACGACACAGCCATATTGTAGTATATACGGTAGACTAAATATTACTGCTAGTGCTGAGTAGGTATACTACCTGAGCGATATGCAGCGAGTTCACTTTAGAAAACATGACGATAATTCCTACAAAACATGGCATGGCATTTTTACAGCATTGCGTCTATAACTATAAATATGCTTTTTATGGACTGTCAGAGTGTCAGAAAAAATTATTGCAGAACTTATGAATAAATTTAAATTGAACCCCATCACCCTCAGCGTGTACGTTCTCTACGAATAGCCCCTGCGGTGCGGTATCGTGAGCATGGGTACCGGACCGTGCTAGCAGTCGAGATAGAGGGGTGGGGCTGTCAATGATACACCTCCTCCCTGAAACGTTAACTTTACTTTACCTTTTAATACTGAGAAAACATTTCTAAATCATCACAACTTAAGAAAAGTTGATAAGTTATTGACCTGCCCATCCTCCTTTTCTTTTTTTTTTTTTTTTTTTTTCAAAACACCCCGTGCCGAGGCGTAGCGGGAGTGTTTGTCGCCCGGGGACAAGATTCGCGCCCAGGGACCAGATTCATTTTAAAGCGCGCCCTTTCCTTTTTTCAACTCTCAGACCCATTATTTTTATCAATAAAATAATATCAAAGCACATTTGGCGCCCCTTAACTAGCTGGTGCCCGGGGACATCTGCCCTCCTCCACCCCCTTCGCTACACCTCTGACCCCTTGGACGCCCATGATTGTGAGTATAAGTATAAGGGCAGAGCAAGAATCTCCGTGCCTTCCCTGACTAGCGAAAAGTCTAATTTAACTAGCTTAAGTCCTGTAGCATAATACTAAACTGATTTACAATGTATTGGGTGACAGGCAGCGATGCATACTCACAATATATTAAAGTCCTCTTACACTCTGT